CTCCTCCATCCCCCCCTCCTCCTCTCTGTGGCTCCCCCTCCCCCCACATGCTCCATACCTGGACTCACTAATGACAGCCTGGATCATCCTCCCCATCAGCCTCTCCACTTTCTCCATCACCGGGATATGGATCGTGTAAGCAGCCGCTTTGCTCGGGTTGACACGGAGACCGGAGGCCTGGCTCTGGCAACCTCAGCCAAAGTCGTGTGCCTGGCCCAGGGAGGGGCCGGTTCCTGCTTCTCTGTGGGCTAACGACCCCTTTAGTAGTCTCCTCTGCTGGGAACTGACTCTTGGGTTCCCTCCAGTGCTGCCCCACTCTCCGGGTGTGCCAGCCCTGTGCTCCACTGTGTCCCTGGTCCAGCTTGTGACTGGGGTTCTGTGGGGCTTGTACAGGGAGCAGATTCCTTTGTCATGGGGCTGCGGAAGGGACCCCTGGAGTAGGTACTTGGGGAGGGGCGGATGCCAGTTCCAGTGCAAGGGGCACCTCTGGGCCCTGCCCCTCTGATCAGGTGCCAAACTAGTGCAAGCTGGGTGGGGACCCTGAGTAGCCAGGCCGTGTTAGTGCCCCGTGGGCCTGGCCCGCATCCTGCTGCCCACACCCCGGGGCCTTCCCTTGCCGCACTGATCCAGACAGTGTGGGCGGTGGAGGGTTAACGGTGTCCCTTAGGTGGGGCTCAGCCAGAACTGGACCCCCTGCCAGCCAGGTGAGTGGCCCTAGGGTCAGAGTGCTCAGGGCCCCTGTGGGGGTGTCCCCGCGAGGGGACCAGCCGAGCTGGGCGGGTCCCGCTCTGAACGCTGCCCATGGCAGGCTCTGCACAGCTGCCTGCAAACGCGCCCCTGTCCTTGCATCTGCCTCCCGGGTGTCCTTAGCTCACCCTGCAGTACCAGGCTCCTTCCACTGGGGGGACCCTACTCGGCCACGCGGGCAGAGCCAGGTGCCCCCAAGTGCAGGGTTGGGGGGGGGGGCAGACCCCGCTGGAGCCAGCTGCTGCCCCGCCCCCGCGGAGCCTGCTGGTGCCAGCTGGCCCCAGGGACCCCTGCCCTGCGCTGGCACCAAAGGCTGTGGCTGAAGCTGAGCGGCCCTGCAGGGCCGGGCCCGATGGTCACGTTGCTCTAGGTGGCCAGGCAGCTGCTCAGCTCCTGCACCTTGCAGGCGAGCAGCGCTGGGTCGCTGGGGTAGGTGGCTCCAGGGAAGCCCTTGCGCTCGGCCTTGCCGAAGGCGACACCTGGGAGCATCCTCTGCCCCAGCTGGCACATGGCCATGCCCTGGGGGGACGGCCAAGCCGATCCCAGTCCCCGTTCTCCTGCAGGGTTTGGTGCTGGAGTTGGCTCCAGAGCCCTTGGCTGCAGCAAGCACCGGAGAACGGAGCTTTGCTTGGTTCCCCCAGCCAAGCAGGGAGGGAGGAGGCTCAGGCAGTGGGGTGTCTGGTCTGCGTGGCACAACAGGCATGGGCTAGCACTGCCAGGTCTCGGCTTGGTGCCACCCAGGCTGGCCTTCCCAGAACTGCCCATTCCCAGCACCCCCATGGCTCGGGTGGGGGGTGTAATTTGGGCTCCCCTGCAGAGGCTGGGGAGGTAAGAAGGCTCCTATGGGGGGGGCGTTTCTTCTGCTAGTGGGGGTCAGGCTTGACCTGGGCTCTGCTCCCCGCAGCTACGCCATGGCAGTGATGAACCAGCACGTGTGCCCCGTCGAGAACTGGTGAGTGGCAGCCCCCTTCGCTGGATGTGCCCAGGCAGCCTCTGCCAAGCGCCGCCCCTCTGGGTGCCCCACCCTGCAGTCCAGCCCCCCCCGGCCGTGGGAGCTGCTTGTGCCCAGATGGGCCAGGGCGCCAACTGGCCTGGCTGTAACCTGCCCACCTGCGGCAGCCGTGTGCACAGGGCTCGCTGGTGGGGGAACGGGTCCCTCTGTGGCTTATGGGCAGCCGTAGACCCCAGGGTGGGGGGGCTATGCCCAGGGCTGGGTGCTAGGACAGTCCTCCTGCCCTAGGGTGTGGCAGGGCGGGTCAGTCCTGCCCCAATTCCCTGCACTGGGCTGTTCGGCCCCTTTCACCCCCCGCCCTTGCCAATCGGTTTCAGGTCCTACAACGAGTCCTGCTCCTCCAGCCCTGCCATGCCTGGCTCCCCCAAGAGCTGCTGCACCCTGGAGGACGTGCCTCTGATCAGGTGAGGCTGAAGGGGGGTTGTGTGATCCCGGCTGGAGGCGCTGACAGGCAGCTCTGCCCCGGGGCAGCCCGTGCACGTGTCACTGGGGGCTGAGGGTGGGGGCACCGCAGGGGCAGCAGGCCTGGCCTCGCTGGGTGCCCAGAGCCCTCGGGTGGCATGTGCTGCAATGCCCCACGGCTCGGGGCAGCCCCCCAACCAGTCAGCCCCGCCTGAGCTGCGGCCGTCCACCGAGGGCACGAACAGCATGCATGGGGGGGGAGGGGCGCGCTGTGTGTCGCGTCCGGCTGCCAGGCCCAGAGGGGTGCTGGCCGGGGTCACACCCACCAGGGCTGTGGCACGGGGTGTGTGCTGCTCCCATCGCGGCCCAGCTTTGCTGCCTGCTTTCTCCTTGCCCTGCAGCAAGTGCAGCACCTACCCCCCTGAGCGCTGCCTCTTCAGACTCATCGGGCAC